TGCAGCACCGACGATGGCGGTTTGGCCGTGCGTGTCATTGTAGGTGCGAGGACCTTCGGCACGCGGGCTGCTTGACGAGCCACTGGCTTGGCCACCAGCGTTGGCTTGACCGGAAGTGTCGGCTTGACAAGTGCTTTGGTGGTTGCACGCTTGTCTGCAACCGGCGTTGGCTTGAAAGGTACACGCTTGGGGACCGGGGCACGCGTGGGATCAGCGAGAGCAGACTTGGCCTGGCGACGCATCTCGGCGCGGCTACCTTCCGCAGACTGGATCATGTTGTTGCGGGGGATCGGGGGCGTCGTCGTGGTTGCACGTTGCTGGTCGTAGAAGGTCTTGAGGAGGGCCTTCTTCTCCGCTACGCCGGCGTCATTGTCCGAGATGAGCGGGCACTTCCAGACATTGTGGTCCACAGCCTTGCACTTGAGGCATGGATGCTTAGGCTTGGAGTCGCCGGTGGACGCTTTCTTGGTTGTCGCATCACCACCGGGCACCTTGGCACCACTAACGTCGGCCTTTGAGCCTTGGTTCTTGTGCACCTTGTTTTTGTCCTTCGTTGCAACAGCGGGCGCGGTGTCGCCGGCGGGAGGCGTGCCGGCGGAGGGCTTCTTAAAGTTGTCGAAGCGGGTGTAGGCTCCAAACGTGTCGATGAGAAGACCCACAAAGTCGTCCCACCGCTTGTAGCGCTTCTTGGAGAAGTTGATCTCTTGACGCAAATACGACTGGAGGTACTCGGGCCGCACCGCGTGGATGATGTGATTGCGGGCGGATTCAGGCTCCACGTCGTAGTACTCGCGGAAACCCGATTCGTCGCAGATGCGTGCGTATTGTTCGATCAGTACAAGGGCACGAGACTCGCCGTTTCGAATTGTTTCATCGCACCGAAGTTCCCGACGTACACGCGCAAAGAAGTCCGCAACATTGGTCTTCACGCGCTCGCAGTCGGTTTTAAAGAACGCGTAGAGTTCGTCGTCCGGGACAGAGTCGAGGTCCCGGCTGCCTTGGCCCCAGCGGTAGCGCAGCATTGTTCGAAGCGTGTTGTTGTCCACGCAATAGCGCAACACGCGCCGCTGGATGGCGACTTGGCCGCCGAACTGGTTGAACCGCTCTTGGATCGCGTCTTCGTAGCGGCGCCACTCGAGCCAGAAAGCCTTCATTTTCGCGGTGTCGCTCGAGTTGAGGAAAGGCGCCTTGATGTCGTCAGCTGTGACGATTTGCGTGAAACCCTCAGGCATGGTCTTGGCGTACTGCCCAGGGCCGTCCGGTGCCGGGCGGTTCTGCTCGATGGATTCGGGCGCAAGGTGAGTGAAATGATGGAACTCGACCGGCGGCAGTTGTTGCGCGAGGCTGCGCGTCCGGGCTGCCGCACCGAGCCACTGGTTGTTGCTGACGAACTTGTTGAAAAGGTCGTCCATCTGCCCGAGCGTCAACGTGACTGTCGCGTCCGGGTCATCAAAAGCACCCATCGAGACGTCCGTGCTGCCACGACGGTAGGTTGGCGCCGCCTTGGGCGTCTCGGGGATCGGGACATTCTTTGGGTCCACGGGTTGGACACGAGGTGACGTGGCCATCTTGGGGGGAGCGTTGGGGGAGGCTTGCTTGTTAGCAACAAAGAATTCTTTATGCTTCACCGCCGTGTTGAGACCCAAGCCCTGAGAGGAGGCTTGGACACAGTGATGCAAATTGGAGAGTGAATTATGTAGTTATGGATGAACTGGTCAATATTGTCGTAGACACGCAATACAAAAGACACGCAGGACCAGCTTGGAGAAATGGGGACGAGGCGAGAAGATTCAGAACGGGGACGAGGCGAGGGAGACGAGGCGCAAGAGACGGAACGAGTCAAAGACATGTTGTCGCAGGTGCGCTGCACCACACGGTGGAGATGCGGAAATTCGGCTTGGAACTCGGCGTCGGCGGCCGCAGCGCGCGCGGCGGCGACGTCTTGGAGGTGGTTGGCGTTGAAGCGGTGCATGGTGTTGTCGGTGGTGCTCGTTGGAAATGCAAATGATTGCGGTTCAAACTTGCATGGTTGTCGTACAAAAGCTCGTCGCTCACATGCTTTTACAGCGCCCCTGTCGCTTTCGTCGAAGGCGCTTTTACCACGTCAATGTCGATTCTTGTCTTTGCAATGGGGCCGTACCGGAAGTGATGACATTGAGCGGGCAGCCGATATAGAGTACACAATGAGCTGCTGAAGTCGCCTCGAAAAACAGAGTAAAAACGACTGGAATGTGCAAGCAACGTCATCGAATGTGAGCTTTCCATTCGCACAAGATCGGCTGCAGACTGAAGAGAGAGAGCGCCACGTCATCCATCCTTCCAGTTACACAATGTGTAACCTCGCGTTCTCCTTGCTTTAAGAGAGGTGCAAGAGCAAGGACAAACACACATTGTGTACATACAAGATAACGCGAAACACGTTCATAGATAGATAGATATGTCCTTCCCATGGGTCAAGATCCCGCCGCTCCTACGCTACATGTATGATCGGAGAGTCTGGATAGAGACGATCTGCGCACCGTTGCGTTGGCGAGCGCCACGTCAGTCTTCCGTGTCTTCTGGTACGGCGCTACACAGCGCTTGAGACGCGGCAGCATCGCAGGCGCGAGGTCCGTTGTAAGCAGCGTCGTGGCCGCGAAAGGCGCGAGTGAGTATCTTCGGTGCCGAGGCCGGCGCCAACTCCGAACACACGCGTCACCGTATCGAGGACCATGTGGGCGTGCAGGATGCGCGAGCCTTGGATCGTCAGCGTCTTGTTGGCTTCGGCCGTGTACACCTCGGCAAAGCCGTTCCAGAAGCGCTGGATCTGGCGCACGCTATCGTCCATGGGTACGTCCGCCTGCCGCATCATGGGTCTCGCAGCCTCGGAATGCCTACAATGTGTATTGCAACTTCAAGCACATCAAAATCAAAACCTTTCACAGATTGCGGAGCCGTATCCAGCAAGATTATCAATTTAGATCTCGTAGTGCACCAATCAAATCGGTGCATTGCCATGCGTGCGCGTGTCTTTGTCGATCTAACTTGACACTTCCTAGCTTGATAGTTCGTGGAGGTTGTGATTTGATGGGATCGGGGATTTGCGCGAGTCCTCGAAGCAAAGTCGCCCCTCGCTGGCTATCGTTGGGCCGCAGCGGCTCGCCTTTATGCGCTGGATCAAACCACTGCGGTATCGTCATCGGGCGGCCGGTCCACGGATATCGGGCCAACCACAGTACACGCTCTTTTCGAAGACGATTCGACGCGAGCAGCGGTCATTTTCATCATTTTGATGGATCAACTGCTCGAGTCACGATGGACGTCACAACTGGGCCCCTCGAGTCACTCGAGTCAGCAAGCGCCAAATATCGATCTCCTCAAAATGGCTCTGCCAGTCATCTACACCTCCGATATACACTGTCGGGTCCCTCTGGAGTCTCTAGTCGTCGCGAAAGCACTCCAAATGTTTAATTTCGTACAATAAAGCTTGCCAACTCTCCAATTTCGTACAACTAAGCTTGAGATCTGGCCTGTCATCGGGATGGAAACCACACGTTCTCGGTCTTGGTGTTGGTTTGACCCCGGTCATGGTGATTTTTTCGACCAATTCGAGCTTTGGGATGCAATAGGCAGTTCTTCTTCACTTGTGTTTAAACACACGTAGTGGATCGCCCGTTCCTGCCACGCAGCACATTTTCGAGCAGGCTGCACGACAGGTAATAGTAAAGTACTAGTACGCCGCGAGCAGCTTCTTCGCTCGTCCACGGCTTGTGCACAGCGCTCCATTGCACAACCATGTCAGCAGGTATTATGTCGTCCATCGTTGCTCTCTTTGTGATCAACGAGCTATCCGGATACTTGTTGGCGCTCGCGTGTGCGCGACACCTTCCGATAGTAGCCTCGGCATCTCAGTGGCCGCGGACGACGACAGTCGATAGCACGTCGCACGGTAAATATTGAATCCAAGCTAAATCAGCCTAAACTTGTTAGTTTTTAGTATGTACACTGGCCCATCCCTGTCGCGCGAGCACTGTCCACTCGATGTGCATACGCTGGTCATGCCCATCACACGGGGTGGAAAGCACCGCACTGGAGATTGGCAAGCTGGCACGCGCGCGAGTAACTTGGTAGTAGGTTGAAGCTGCACCTGCCATCTGGTCCGCTTGCCATCGCTGGCATCTCGAATTCGCTACATTGTACTCTCTTCTTCTCGACGCCCGTAGCTATTGTACCTTGCGCGCCGTCCTTCATATCCAATCGCAGTACACTGCACAAGGCCGCGCCGCTGCGGTAAATAATGCAACGTGCAAAGACAGACGACAGGGACAAGTGACGTGCACCGAAGATCGCGCTTGTGTAATCGGGCCACACGGGTTCACACGCCCTTACACACAGCAGCAATCCTCTGGAGGTACGTAGCTCGACTGCCGAAGGCTGGTACAGTTGACGTGCTCGTTTGGACGCCGGGTGCCTGCGCAGGAGAAATTTGGCGTCGGATGCGCCCGTTGCACGGTGGTTTCCGAGCAAACTGCACCACACTGTGTATTGTAATCTGGTTCGCACACTATTAAAATGGATGGTTCGACTAAACCGTCGCGGTGTCGACTACACCATACAAAAATACTATATCAACCTTAGTCGATTCGAACATAACATTAAAATACACGCGACCATTGCCACTTTGCCCATTGTGAAAAATGCAGTGCGCTGGAATTCACACTGATAACCTTCCGTGATCGTCGCGCTACCGAGAATCGAAACGATTCTTATCGGCTATTTTTATATCGCAAGACAAATCTTTTGAATGCCGCTAGAAAGGGCAACCTCGTGGCGTGGGAATGGCTTTTTCACGCGTGGGATACTCGGCACTACCAGACGGTTGCGATTATTACACATCGCGCCACAGTCAAGTTTTTTCCTCCGAGATGCAACGCAGCGCGACGCTCGCCGCCATGGCCGCGCTGGTGCGACCAGCCATCGCCGGCAATCAGAACGACCCGACGCAGCCGACCAAGTCGGGCCTTGGCATCTGGGTTGACGCCCACACGCCGGCCGACATGTACACGAAGCAGAGCTCTCGCGGCGACACGTGGAACCTCGTCATGAGCGACGAGTTCAACCTCGATGGCCGCCAGTTTGCATACGGCAACGACCATCTCTGGACCGCGCTCGACATTCCCGATGGCGTCAACCGCGCGATGGAGCTCTACAGCTCCAAAAACGTCTACACCGAGGGCGGCTACTTGTACAACCGCGTCGACGAAGGCCCGGTGAACATCAGCTATTGGAACTCGTGGTCCGAGACGCCGGGCTACGAGAACAAGACGATGCACTACACGGCCGGCATGATGCAGTCGTGGAACAAGTTTTGCATCCAAGGCGGTTTTGTCGAAGTGCGCGCGATGCTACCGGGTGCGATCAACAAGGAGTCGCTCAACCCCCATATTCTTGGCTACAAGTGGGCGCCGCCGCCCATCAACAAGATTCCAGTCAACGACAAGGACAAAATCCCCGACATTCGGTTCTACCCGACGTGGCCCGGTCTCTGGCTCATGGGCAACCTTGGCCGCGCGCTCTTTGCGGCCTCGACCAACCGCATGTGGCCCTGGACGTACGACGAGTGCGACGAGCGGTACGAGACCAACCAGCGCATCTCAGCGTGCAACAAGAACCCTGGCTTTGGCCTCAACCCAAACCAAGGCCGCGGCGCGCCGGAGATTGACATCCTCGAAGGCGGTGGCACAGCGATCTCGTCGTCCGTCCAGATTGCGCCGGGCATGCCAGACGAGTACCGCCGCACCAAGCCGATCCTTAAGCTCGAGAGCGTCACCAACGTCGATCCCCAAGGTGCGTACGCCTAAAGACGCGATCGCAGCGACCGACCGTACGATGTGATAGGGCGCAAGGGCCAGGGCCACCTCTTTTGCTACTACGACAAGAACTGCCTCACGCCCGGGGCCAACATGGCCGACGTTCCGACGGCCGCCTTTGCGTCGCGCGGCCACAAGTCGTGGTACCACGGCCTCCGATATGCGGCCAACAACCGGTGCAACCCCGACCCGAAGCTCGTGCAGCAGTACGAGTCGGTCGCCAAGGCACAGAACGGCACCATCATTGACAACCAGTGGGACATCAAAACCATTAGCTCGGGCCGCGACCTGCACGCGGACTTGAGCTTGATGGACGGGAAGGGCCCGCTGCATTGGGGCATCAACTACAAGGGCACGTGCTTCCCGATCTCGAACGGGTACATTGGCGGCTTCCTCTGCGACCCGGACAACATGAACCCGAACTGCGAGAACCCGCGCAAGCCCGGCGTGCCCCTCACGCGGCAAATGGAGACGTTTGCGTACCAAATGGATGCGATCTCGTCCAACTGGGACATTTCGTTTGAGCACTACAAGATGTTTTTCAACTACCAGATCGAATGGTATGCCACGGATCTCATGTATCATCGTGCGAATTGTGGCCAATTGTACATGTTAGGGTCATGGGTGAAGACGGCTACATTCGCTGGACGCTCGATGACGCGCCGATTTTTGAGATTCCAGCGTCGTCGATGACCAACCCGCCCCAAGGCGGTGCCAGCGTCAACCCAAAGAAGCTCATGATCGAGGAGCCGTCGTACATCATCTTCAACATTGCCATGGCGTCGGCGTGGGGTACTCTTTTGCTTTTGAGATTCGAATCTCAAAATCATCTTGTTTTGTAGGGGCCATGCCACCCAACTACGAAGTCGGGCCGTGCCGCGGCAATGCGACCATGCCCGCGGACCCCAACATTCGCCGCATCACCGATAACATTTGCGACTCGTTCCCGATGTACATGGTCATTGACCACATTCGCGTCTGGTACGTACTTCGATCCCACAACTTTGTACTTTACTACGACCTCCTTTAGGCAAGACACGGCGGTGGGCTCTAAGATGAGCGTCGGCTGTGACCCTGCGAGCCACCCGACCAAGGAGTTCATCAAGGCGCACATTCTCAACTACACGGACCCGCTCAACAAGGACGTCGAGGTCGCGGGTAAAAACACGTGCATCAACGACGACGACTGCTCGATCGCCGGCGGACACCGACGGGCCGATGCATTAAGGAGC